TGGGTTTACCCCCCCCCCCCCCCCCCCCCCCCCCCCCCGGGGGGAAAAAGGCCCTAAAACCCCAAACAAATTGAGGGGGGGGCGCCCCTATTTTTTTTTTCCCCCCTCGCCCCTCTGCGGGTTTATGGGGGGCAAAAAGAAACCCCCCCCCCCCCCCCCCCCCCCCGCCCCTGGAGATAAAGAGTCTCTAAACCTCTAAACGTCTACAAGGGCAGCCACCCTTACTTACTTACTACCCATTACGCCATCTGGCGTTTAGGGCAGCAACAAAGGATCTCCAGCTCTGTCTTTTTGGGCCATCTTGGTCAGCGTTCAGTCGCGGAAGCCAAGCGGAATGTACGTTTAGAATTTCCCTACAGCAGTCACAAGTTGGGTGCTAGCTCATTAATTGTCTGAACTTTATTCTTTACGATGAGACTACTCCCATTTTCAAGCTGTCTCAAATAGGCCACCTAGATCCTCAAATCTAACGAAGTGTGTACAGACCTGATAACCGGGAACCACAGAATTCTACACTTTTATAGAAGCGGAACTAGGCTTCCTCTTCGCGATCGCTGATTCGTTGTGAGGAATTGAAACTAAAACATGGCGGCCTGTTGCTATGCACGCTGATGCTAGCTAGTGGTAGGGCTTGGAAGACACCTTACATCAGTATTTTAAAAGTTTCTTCGAAGAGGAAATACAGTGAAATAGTCTAATACATTTTTATTGCCAACATGTCATAATTGACGATGTTACAATGTTTTTGTGTTGTTGGTTTTGTTTTTTTTAAATGATGGGATGGGATCTAGATCTAGATCTACTAAAGATTTTCACACTCACAATACACTAATTATGAAAATTAATTCTGTTGGCAAAATATCTAGATATTATAGTCTTGACTAGTACTACGATAAATAGGGGACGCTGACAGTAACATGCTCACTACAATTACATTGTCATTAAACTTAATAGTGGGGCAGCTAATTGCAAAAATCAGCCAAATCATTCACATCGTCATACAAGCACCAAAATTGGCACACATATTTATATCCATTATGACATGCATATTCATAAATCGAACGTTTACCACGCAATTTTTTTCAAGATGGCCGCCATTGCCGGTATGCGCAACCCTATAATGTCACACAGCATGAGGCAGTAGAGCAAATTATATGATTTTGGTGTCAAAGTATATGTAATCAACCAGGAAGAATCCAAATTTGATATATGCTTACCCGATAATCACCACCTTAATATGTTTTTTTAACATATTATAACAATTGAAGTGATTTTAAACTGCTATGATAGATTCAAAGAAGGTGTCACTAACCATAGACACTCGAAGGATCGAGAGACTCCATTCCCCCTACATTGGTCTGTCAGTGTTTACAAAGACCAGGACGAAGAAGCTCGTACAGATGCTCCAGGCAAAGGGATTAAGCATATCCTATGACTATGATCGAGTGCTGGAGATATTCGCCGAGCTGGGGGAAGATGCTGTTGTGTGTTAGTACATCACAAATGGAGTCATCTGCCCCCTGGAGCTGCGAAGAGGACTGTTCACCACTTCGGCCACAGACAATATAGACCACAATCCATCTGCTACAACATCAACGACATCTTTCCATGGTATAAGTTTATCGCTGTTCCAGCATCCCACCTCTGAGAATAAGGGAGAACAGCTGCGGAAATTGCAAGTAAGGGGTGTCATGGTAAAGACAGTCCCAGAACTTCCAGACTTTTATGCGCACATCAAACCTGCTCATTTCACCAATAAGAGTCCATATCCTCCTCAAGTGACTAACATGACTCAACCAGACATGGAGATTTTGAAACCACAGCTGACTGGAGCATGAATGGTCCAGAAAGTCTCCATCGCAGAGGTCCATGGCAATGTAAATATCTCATGGACTTTCCATTACGCAGACAAGAGGGGTCCTGCATTCAAAACTTGTACAATGTATATCCACTATGCTGCCTCTGGTGAGAGACCAAGCCCGCTCTGCAGCTACAGTACGACATGTCACGGACAAGAAAGGGATGCAGTGAGGTTTCTTAACCTCGGACAAGTGCCTGTGATCACAGCAGATCAGTTGATATATGCCACAGCCAAAGAGATCCTGTGACAGTGGCCTAAAGATTATGGCGAAAGTCAATTCGTCATCATGTTTGGAGGATTGCACATTGAGATAAATGTGCTGCGTTCACTCGGTTTCCTCTTTCACGACAATGGATGGACACCTGCACTGAGGCGGGGGTAGCTTGATCTGGCTCAGCAGATTCTTTCCTATCAGCTGCAAGTCTCACCAAGACCCGCCAAACCCACAAAGTAACAGCGTGCAGCCCCTGTACAGTCCATGCCGGCTTTAAGCACGGTCGACGGGAGAAAGCTTTAGTGTGCTTAAAGCCGAAGAGTGCTTGAGTGCGAAGTAGACATAATCCAGAGATTTTCATGAAGAAAATTTCCCGTGCTTTTTCCCTTTGTTTGTAAATAGGCCTATAGCGATCCCGCAAAAGTGTGCACTGTTATTTAGACTCCCGCCATGGTAGTTTTTGTTCGCTTGTTTGTTTTTGTTTTGTGGTCGAATGGGAAATGAAAACTTAATTCAGACGGCCATTCACGATACAGCACACTAGGCCTACACATTGCCTGTGCGTAGCACTGCCCGCTGTGCCACTCATACCACCGCCTTCATCCCACCTCGCGCGTGATACGCAATCAGGATTAATGGATAGCGAGGGTCAAAAGTGAAATCGCAGCCAGCCTCCCTTTCTCGTCTCCCCGACTCTCTACTCTCTTTGTATTTTTTTTTTTGTCGTGTGTAGCTTTGCCCAAGGCCTAGGCTAGATCCTATGTCCGCGCGCGCGGCTGTGTGCATCTGCCTTCCTCTCCGCCCGTGTGAGTGTGTGTGTCCATCACTTGCGTTCTTTGTGTTTCTCTTGACACACTCCACTGCTGCGGTGTAGACTGTGTTCGAACTTCGATGAGTCATCATGAAAATATTGACTGTCTTGTAAATGAAGCGTGCTTGAAGCCGAAGTTACCGTGCTTAAAGGCGTGTAATTTATATAGCAAAAATTCGGTAAGAGCCGTTTAGCGTGCTTGAGTCCGAAACGTGCTTTAAGCCGGCGTGCTTAAAGCCGACACGGACTGTACCAGTTCTTGAAATCAGCCTACTCTAGAAAGAGATCAATAAATTGAGCTTATATTGAGGAAATGTATTTCATGTATTTCTCACTTTAAGAATTCATCTCTGTGTTTGCATCAGTGAAATATAGTGTGTACAACATGCTTTGTTTAAAGCACGTGCGAGTCTAATAAATACAAGAGATTGGAGAATGTGTCGGTTGCACATAAAATACAATATCTAGGCCTATTATTGTCATGATATTTGATACTTATACTCGAATATATAGTGAAGATGTTCGGTACGAGAATAAACACTTCCCTTCCCTATGAAATCAATTTGTTTACTATCGTCTTGTGCTCGTCTGACTTTGATCAAATATTAAGAATAAATACATAACATCATAACATGGTGTCAGAAAATGTTATGATGTTATGTATTCTTAATATTTGATCAATTGGTGTAGTTCTCAGAGCTAGTATAGCCTTGTATGGATCTTGGTTTGATTCTAAAGCTTTCGCCAGGGTCCGTTTCACCAATTTCACCTGGCTTTCAATGTATCCATTACTTCTTGGGTAGTGAGCTGAGCATGTTTCATCTGAAGTTGTATTCTTCTGAGAACTTTCTGTATGGGGATCCACTGAAGTGGGGCCCATTGTCGGATCTAACCACTTTTGGTATTCCTTGTTCACTGAAAATTTGCTTGGTGAGGGTGACAATCTTGTGACTTGAGCTTTGTTTCTTTGGGATTTTTCTCACAAATGGGAATTTTGAATAGTAGTCACTTATAAGGAGATACTCTTCTCCTTTGAGATACAAAAGGTCTGTTCCTATCGTATGCCATGATCTTGGCGGAATTTTTGTTTGTATTAGTGGTTCCTTTTGCTGTCCACTTTGGTGTTTCTGGCATGTTTCACACTTCCTGACAATGTCTTCAATGTCTTTGTTAATATCTTTCCAGAACACACTTTCTCTTGCTCTCAGTTTGGTTTTCTCTAACCCTAAGTGAGGTTCAGGCAGTTTGTTCAGGACTTCGGATTTCATTTTCCGTGGTATGATGATTCTGTATCCCTTCAAGAGCACTCCATCTTCAATTGAGATTTCATCTCTGTAGTTCCAATATATGGACGGCATAGTTGTGGAACATCTTTGATATTTCCTGGCCACCCATTGTAGATCGTCTCTTTCAAAGCACTGAGTTCTGTGTCTGTTTTTGTGTTCTCTGTGATTCGCTGGATGTAGTTATCACTAAACTGAGGCAGAATTTCATGGATTTTGATGCGTTGTGTTTCCAAGGGTTTTGCCTCTTCATCTGACACAGACAGTCTTGACAGTGCATCTGCAATACACATATCTTTCCCTGGAATGTACTTGATGGTGAAAGTGTAAGGCTGTAGTCTCAACAGCATCCTCTGCAATCTTGGCGGCGCTGCCTTTAAGTTCTTGAGATGAATGGATTGTAGAGGTTTGTGGTCGGATACCACAGTGAATTCAGGTATGTGTGGAATCTTTCACATCCATAGACTACGGCCAACAACTCTCGTTCTATGTTTGCGTAGCGTGTTTCTTGATCAGTGACGGTTTTACTAGTAAAACCCACTTTTTACTAGTAAAACCCACTGGTTTTCCTTCCTGCATTAGGGTTGGTCCTAAAGCTTTCATAGATGCATCCACCTGGACAGTGATTTCCTTCTTTGCGTTAAAGTATGCAAGCGTGACTTCTTCTGTGATTGCATTTTTATTCTCTGAAATGCTTCTTCATGGCTTGGGGACCATTCAAACTTGCTTGACTTTGTGAGCAGTTCTCTCAGGGGTGCGGTCAATGTGCTTAGATTCCGAATGAAATGTCCCATGTATGTTGCCAGACCTAAGAAAGATTGTAGCTCTTTTTCATTCTCTGGAGCCTTCATGTTTCTTATGGCTTCTACTTTTGAGGGAGTCAGGTTTGAGTCCGTCTTGAGTGACTATTACACCGTAGAACTTGATTTGATTTTGCTTTATGCAGCATTTCTCTGGATTTAGTTTCAGTCCGGTTTCGACACATCTTCTGATCATCTCCTGTAGGTTTTGATCATGTTCTTGTTCTGTTTTTCCAAAAACAACAATGTCATCTGTAATGCCTATGACACCTTGGCATCCTTCAAAAGTTTGGTCCATCTTCTTCTGAAAAATATCTTGACTCATTCTTAATCCAAACGGCATTCTCAGAAATCGGAACCTTCCTTCTGGCGAGTTGAATGTTGTGAGGTAACTTGACTCTTCGTCAAACTCCACATTCCAATAACCACATTTGGCATCCAGGATGGAAAAATACTGTGCATCTGATAGTGATAGGCTTGGTAGAATTTCCTCTAGTGTAGGTGTGGTGTAATGTTCTCTGAGAATCGCCTTGTTCAAGTCTTTTGGGTCTAAACAAAGACGTAAACTTCCATTCGGTTTTGTTCTGTAAACCAGACTGTTGACCCATTGAGTAGGTTGACCTTCTTGAATTTTCTCTATGATCCTATTTTCTCTCTTTTCTTTGAGCTCTTCCTTTATTTTGGCTTTGATCTGGATTGGCACTTTCCTTTGAGGGTGGATCACTGGTGGGACATCTTTGCTTGTGTGTATGTGGTATCGGCCTTCAAACTTTCCCATGCCTTTGAAGGTCTCAGGGTACTTGCTGATCAGGTCTTCTTTGTTCCTGATATGTTCTGTCCTTGACTTGCATTTCTTTTCAATGCAGTAGTTTAGACTGATCATCCCTAGAGCTTGCAGTGTCGGTAGTCCAAATATTGCTGATCCCTTGTCTTCTGTGACGTAGAAGATTGTACATTCTGTGTTGTCTTTGTAACTGCATTCAATGCTGCAAGTTCCCAATTGCCTTAATAGGTGTTCACCGTATCCAGTCAGTTTGACTTCAGATAGCGTCAAATCTGTTGGTGTCCCTTCTTTGTCAACTTTTGATGGAAACATCTTCCTGTACAGTCTTAGTGGCAATGCGTTTCCTTGTGATCCAGTATCTATCTTTGCCTTTAGAGTTGCTTTACCCCACTCAGGTAACACGACTTTAACAGTTGCAAAAGCTTCACTGTCACATTTGTTCAGCTTTATTGTCTCAAATGCACAACTAGATCCATACTGCTCTTCTTCTTCCTCCTCCTCTTCTTCTGTTGAGTCATCCCCCATTGTGATTTCATGAGTCTTGTTGTATCTAAGTTTCCTGCATACTTTCTTGAAGTGGTGTAACTTCTTGCAATAGTTGCATGTTTGGTTTCGAGCAAGGCATTGAAGAAAAGGGTGTGGGGAACCTCCACAATTGGTGCAAAGTTTCTTTGGCTGAATGTTTGAACTGGACCCGTACTTGGGTTTGTGTTTAGCTGGTGGGTTGTAAACTTTTGGTGACGGACTGAACTTTTTCCTCTGCAAAGTCTGGACTGACATTCTATGTTGGCTATCTAATAGTCCCACTCCTGATTTGGAAATTTCTTCAATCTTGCACATTTGCAATGCTGTATCCAATGTAAGTGTACTCTCTCTGAGTAACCGTTCTTTCAAGGAGGTCTCTCAGTCCCACAATAAATCTGTCTCTTACTAGCTCGTCTTCTAGCTTCCCATAATGGCAGTTTGAGTTTTTACTTAATTTCCTGAGTTTTGTGGCATATTCTTCCGCACTTTCCCCCTCAGCTTGGCTTGCTGTATTAAACTTGTACCTTTCTAAGGTGATGTTTGCTTTGGGAGTGCAGTAGTTATTAAATCTTTCCATTAATGGGGCCACTTTGTCTCTTTCCTCTTCTGGGATTTGCCATGTGTGGTAAATCTTCCTTCCTTCCTTCCTCTCCTATGAGGTAGAGGATAATTTGACATTTCTCTTTCTCAGGCTTGTCTTGCATTGCTAGATCTATGTATAAAGTTATTGTCTCCTTCCATGATTTCCACTTGTCAGCTAACTGGCCTGTTTCATTCCTGAAATTCATGGGCTGTGGTGGTGGCAATTTTAATGCCATTCTAAAGGGACGTAAAACTTGTTGGCTTTAGAGATAGGACACTTCGATTTGGTTGCGTTCATTCACGGAGCTTGCGTGATGTAGAATCTAGATTCTAGATCTAGACCTAGGACGCGACGTCTGCTAGATTGCCTGAGTGCGCGTATGTTAGGCTACGAAACTTTCTAGATCTCTAGATCTAGATAAAGAATCACATAACAAAGTCTAAATTATTTTACCTGTTATCACTTGTTAAGTGGGCAGACCTTTTCACTTCTGACACCATGTTATGATGTTATGTATTCTTAATATTTGATCAAAGTCAGACGAGCACAAGACGATAGTAAACATTCAGCCATATATTGATTTCATAGAGGGAAGGGAATAAGCTAAGCATGGGCGAAGTCAAGTCGAGATTCGGAATTCGACGAATTCGTGGGGTCTGAGTCGGAGATCGAACATTGGGCAGGAGGACG